CTAGGAATGGAATAGGGAAATGATACTTCTAGGTTGCTAAGTTGAGTCTCTGATAATCTATGCACATTCTCCAGCCAGTGACTGTTCTTGTGGGAATTAATTCATTATTCTCATTCCTCACAACAGTCATTCCTCCTTTCTTGGGCACTGTCTGCACTGGACTCACCCAAGCACTGTCTGAAATAGGATAGATCATTCCAGCATCAAGCAACTTCACCACTTCCTTCCTCACTACCTCCTTCATGGTAGGATTGAGTCTTCTCTGTGGTTGCCTCACTGGTTTAACCTCCTCTTCCATCAATATTTTATGAATGCAGAAAGAAAGGTTGATACCCTTGAGGTCTGAAAATGACCATCCCATGGCTGTCTTGTTCTTTTTAAGCACTTCAATCAACTTTACTTCCTCCCCTTCAGACAACAATGCATTAATAATGGCTGGGTATGTTTGATCATCTCCAAGAAACACATACTTGAGATTTGGTGGAAGTTCTTTAAGTTCCACCTTGGGTGCTCCCTTAGGAATATCATCTACTTTCTTTTCTAACTCTTCTACTTTCGGTTCTTCTGTAAAGTATTCCACACTTGTTTCCTCCTTGAATTTGTCTTCCTCAAGTGAAGAGTTTTCCTCTTCTATCACTTCTTCCACAGCCTCTTGTATGACATCTACTCTGAAACAATCCTCCACATCAACAGGATGTTTAATAGCTTCAAACACATCAATGGTGACTGTTTCTTCAGTCACCCTTAACATCAACTTTCCTTGTTCAACATCAATCAGGGATCTTGCAGTGGCTAAGAATGGTCTTCTTAGGAGTAGAGGACTTTCAGTATCCTCCTCTTCCATATCTAGTATTACAAAATCTACAGGGAAAATGAATTTATCCACCTTGAACAGAACATCTTCTACCAACCCTTCTGGTCTCTTAATTGATCTATCTGCTAGATGTAGGATAACATAAATGATTTTCAACTTGTTAATCCCCAAAGCTCTGCAGACTGATAATGGCATCAAATTTATACTGGCCCCCAAGTCACAAAGTGCTTTTCCTACTTACACATTTCCAATAGCAATCGGAATGCTGAAACTACCTGGGTCCTTTAACTTTGGAGGAAGCTTCTTTTGAATAAGGGCGCTACGTTCCTCCGTTAAAGCCATAGTCTCACCATCTTTTAACTTCCTTTTCTTAGACAAAAGATCCTTCACAAATTTTGCATAGTGGGGCATGTTTTCCAAGGCTTCAGCAAATGGAATGTTGATCTGTAGTTTCTTGAAAATATCCAGAACCCTTGCATAGTGCTGTTTCTAAATTTCTTGCTTCAACCTCTGAGGATAAGGAACTTTGGCATGTAGAGATAGATTAATTGGTTGGTCTTGCTTGTCAGCCATTTTCTTGTTCTCCACTTCATCAACTTCTTCGGTGAAGAATTGTTTTCAACAAGTACTTCATCTTCTTTCTTATCTTCCTTAACTTTTTCTTTTTCATCATTTTCGACTACATCATCTTCAACAACAACTTCTTCCTCCTCTTTCTTTTCTTCCACTTTCTTTTTAACCGGTTGAAGCATAAGCCCACTTCTTGTAATAATGGATTTGCAATGCTCTTTTGGATTCACCATTGTATCACCAGGGAACTTCCCCTGTGGTCTCTCAGATATCTGTCTGGACAACTGACCAATTTGGGTCTCCAAATTACGGATAGATGCTTCCTGGTTCCTGAATGATGTTTTTTGTCTCTTGCATGAATGCAGAACTTTCTTCTCTGAAAGAATTTGAACCCTGAATAAAATTCATAGTCGTCTTAGATAACTGGGCAAAAGCTTTCTCCCATGCTGATGTATCACCTTGTTGTGAAGAATGTGGTGGAGGATGCAGTGGAGGATTCAACTGATGATTAGAACTATAACTGAACCCTGGGTGTTGATTTCTATTCTTCCATGGTGGAACATACAAATTTCGCCCCTGGTTGTTCTGGTTCCTCTGATCATACCGTACCCCATTCACGTCTGCTTGTTCTACAGATCCCCTATAATCACAATCTTCTGTAACATGGCCTTTCCCACAAATTGCACACATAGGATTAGTGTCTACAGAAGCAACCTTGTGAGAAGATAGCTGCTTAGTGAGAGCATCCAACTATTGTTGTTGTTTTTGTATTTGCATCATCTGATCATTCTTGGCTAACAAAGCATCATAACCATCAAGTTTTATAATTCCCATTCTTCTGTCATTTACTGGAGCATTGTCAAATTATTGAGATGCTAGAGATTCAAATATGTCAAGGGCTTCCTGAGGAGTCTTGGTTGTTAATGAACCACCAGCTGTGGCATTCACCAATGTCCTTGTGTTGGTTGTCAACCCTTGGAGAAATATTGCTACTTGATTCCACACTTCGATTCCATATTGTGGACATTTCCTCAAGAGTGTTTTGAACCTCTCCCAAGCTTCATAGACAGACTCTGGTTCTTTTTGTTTGAACCCTATAATCTCATCCTTCAACTTTGCCCTTTTTGATACTGAAAAGAACCGAGCTAAAAACTTAGTCTGCAGATCATCCCAAGTTGTGATACTTCCTTGAGGTAATGATTGTAACCATCTTCTTGCATCATCCTTCAGTGAATGAGTGAACAATCTTAACAAGATAGCATCTCTAGTCACACCATTGATCTTCACCGTATCGCTCAAAAGTAAGAAATTCTCAATGTGCAGATATGGATCTTCTGCACTTGTGCTAGCAAACTGTTCTTTCTGCACCAGTTGTACTAATGCTGGTTTCAACTCAAAGTTGTTAGGCTCCACAGTGGGTCGAACAACACTCCCAATCGGTGGAATGACCGTGGGAGTCATGTAATCTCCCAATGTCCTCTGTGGTGGTGGCATGTGATTTTCTTCCATGACCTCTTCCTGATTTGTCACACTGGATTCACCCCTTTCTTGTAGCTTCAAATGTCTTGCTGCCTTTCTGTTCTTCCTAATTGTCTTTTCTAATTCTGGATCACACAACAAAAAGTTTGGATTAATAGTACCTCACATACACCAGAATTGGAATTGAATAAAACTTCACACATAAATATAAATTGCTGAAAATAATAAAAATTCAATCTCAAATATTAATGGTGTCTGTCAATGTTGAAGAACAAATCCACGGCAACGACGCCAAAAACTTGTTGCGACTTTAGCAAGTGTACTAGTCGTACAAGTAATAAAATGATAAGTAAAGATCGTTCCCACGAGGATTTGTGTTCAAACACCAACTAACCATTTATAATTAAGTTGAATCAAACAAGAATTCTATGAATGCATTGATAATTGTCACCAGGAATTGAACTGTATTTGGACTTGATAAAATAACTAAAATGTGAATTATAATTTTACAACAAGTAGTAAGAAATCAATGTTCCTCAACCATAAACTTATGTAAGAATCAATCCCATTATGAATTATCTTCCATGTGATGTCAATCAACCTTTTTATTATCATCAAGATGTAATCCCTTACTACCTTGGTTGATACATTAATCAAGAACCCCAATCCCTTGGTAATTCTCTACTTAATACATACATTAAGCACTAAGATTTTAAAGATTACATCAGAGTACTAGTTCCAATCCCTTGAATACTAGAACACTGATGATGAAATTGCCAGTTACAGAATTAACGTAAACATTCATGTTCTACACTTCCCCCTTAATGGAAAGAATTGATAAAGACAATTTCATATCATCACATAAAAGATAATCATAATATTCAATCACCATACATAAATTCATCTTTGAGTTCCATTGAAATCTAACTACAAAGGACTCTACTCAGACATAAGAAAAGAAATAACAAAAGAAGAGGAAAGACCAAACTCCATTGTCATGATGTTGAATCTTCAATCACAATTACATAAAGTACACTAAACTAATACAAAAACTAGGACCTAAGGAATTTAGAATTTCAGAGAGTAAAAAGTCAGATCAGAAGATCTCCCAAATGTGAAGGCCCTTTGCCATTTTATTGTTTACAAATTCCAACTGAATAACATCCAAAAACTGACATGGGCGCTAAAACGTTCCCTGTTGGGCGTTTTAGCGTTCAACTTTGACGGATGCCCAACTGCTTTCAACTGTCTTCAGCGCTAAAACATTTGGCTTGAACTTTTTAGCGTTCAAGACCAGAATCTTTTTGAACAGCAAAGCGCTAAAACTTTTGCATTGGACGTTTTAGCGCTCGGCACCAGCAATTTTTGGCTTCATTTTGCAGCAGCGCGCTAAAACATTCGCTTTGGATGTTTTAACGCTCAACACTTAGAATTCTCCAATTTCTTCAGAATCTTCTTCCTTCTCTCTTTTTCTTCTTGAGCTTCATTTCCCTACAAGAACAATGTAAATTTTTAAAACAACTTTCAGAACTTGTATTTAGGACTTTCCAGGACATTGATCATCTTTTCCATCCATTTAATCACACAAATTAAGCTAATTCATGCTTAAAAACCTTATAAACCAAGGGTTTATCAGGTGATCCCTTGAGGGCTCTCAATGGAGAATGAAGGTGACAAATGGAGGAGGAAAGCTGAAGGCAGTCAGCACAAGGGTCTCACGTAGAGAAGGGATATGGCCTAGGGTTTTGGGCCCAAAGGCTATTTATAGGCGGTTTATAATAATTCACACTGTATTAGTGCAAATAGCTATGCTTAGCATTTTAATCCCAAACTTAGGATTATGAACCTAGACATTTTTCTAAGATTTGCCATATTTTTATTTTATTTTTCGCAGCACCTTTCCGGTACGCGCTTTTACATAGCCAATATCAGTTCTGGCACCAGTTCTCATTATTTCGACCTGAAACTTGACATACTAGTCCTATATATTATTATAGGAATATCCCCACACTTATTATAATTTTCCAGGATACTTCATTGGTACTCATTTATACCGAGGAGCAGAACCGGTATCTGCACTTTTCGTGAGAAAAGAGACTTTCAACATTATTAATTACTTTCTATAATTATTCAAGCCTTCTCATAATTATTAGGGTCAATTATGAAATTATTTTCTAATTCTCATATTTAATTAATTAATTTCCTGAATTAACGGTGCAGGTTCTTACACTCTGGGAGGAGGAGGAGACATTATAAGTGCTAGGAAAAAGTACTTAAAAGAAGTGTTGTCGATTTGGGATTGTCCTAAATTTAAGGAGGACCCCAGTAAACCAGACCCTCCTCTGCTCTATTTCACAAACGAAGATATGCAAGGTGTTCTGCCAGGGCACGTAGATGGTCTGGTCGTCACTGGAACCCTGGTGAATTGCCGGGTTAAAAAGATCTTCATAGATGCAGGAAGCAGTGCCGACATAATACTTTGGGGTGCCTTCAAAAAGATGAATCTTGATAAGGAGGACCTTGCAAGACAACCTTGATAGCTTTTAACGGAGAAAATACACCTCCTAAAGGCTATATAGATCTCAGGTTAACCCTGGAAATGAAGGAAGCATTCCAATCAGAACGAGTAAGATTCATAGTGGCTGATTTCCCTTTAGAATACAATATCATTCTGGAGAGACCAACCATACACTAATAGGACATGCTGGTCTCCACAAAGCATCAAAAGATAAAGATGGTACGCAGCAAGAACGAAATTATCACCATCAGTGGCGACCAGAAAGAATCCAGAGAATGCTACTTTGAAATAGTCAAAGGGAATGAAGGCGAATACTTGAGTCCACCCCGGATATCTAAGAACCTGCACCGTTAATTAAGGAATTTAATTAAATAATTATGAGATAAATAAGATAATTCCATAATTAACCCTAATGATTATAAGAAGGCTTGAATAGTTATAAAAAGTAATTAATGATGCGGAAAGTCGCTTTTCTGACGAAAAGTGCATATACTGGTTCTGCTCCACGAGATAAATGTGTACCGTTGAAGTATCCCAAAAAATTATAATAAGTGCAGGAATTTCCTAGAATAATATATAGGACTGTTATTTCAAGTTTCAAGTCGAAATAATGAGAACTGGTGTCAGAACTGATACTGGCTATGTAAAAGCGTGTACCAAAAAAGTACTGCGAAAAATAAAATAAAAATATCATAATTCTTAAAAAAATGATTAGGTTCAGAATCCTAAGTTTGGGATTAAAATTCTAATCGTATCAATAAGCGCTAATACAGTGTGATTAAGTTTAAATCGGCTATAAATACAAACTTTGCACTAAAACCTAGGCCATGTTCAACCTCCTACGTGCCTCTATTTTTCTGAAACACCACCAGCCACCCTTTCCTCTCCACTTGGTGAGCCAAAGTGAGCACCTTTGCTCTTTGTTCCTTCACCAAACCTTCTTGTGTGTGCGAGACATAGCATTGGGAGTGGGTAGGAGACCTTGTTTCTGAACTGTTGGTCTCTGTTTTGAGGGGTTTAGGGGCTGAGTTCATGAACCTTGTTGTGGGTGTCTTGGCTTTGGCTTTTGGAGCTTCAAGGTGTGATCTTTGAAGAGAAAGAACCAACCTTTGATCACCATTTTCGTACACATTTGAAGTCTGAACTGCAAGGTCAGTTTGGTGAGCTCCAAGAGCACCATTTTGCTCTGTTTTGAGCTTTGAGTAAGTTGTTGAACCTTGATCATGAGTTTTTCTTGTTTAAAGGTTGAGTCTTGGCATGTTATTGGGTTAAACAAGTAACCAACCTGTATATGAACCTAAAAGAGTATAAAAATGCATGCTTGGAAGTTCTCGTGGGTTAAAAGTTGAACCTTTGGAGTGATATCTCGCGAAATGTAGAAACTGCATTCTGTCGTGAAATATCCGGATATGGGATCTCGTGATATCCGAATATGGATATCTGGATATGATATTCAAATATGGATATCCAGATATGATATCTGGATATGGATATCCGGATATGTCCCCGACATATATCCGGATATTCTGGGAATTTCGAGAAATACTGTTCACACATAATGCTATTTTGGGTTTGTGGACCCATGATTGGCTAATGTGGACTTATGTAATAACTAATCTAAGTCAGAATCAAAGTGATTAGGGGCTTATGGCTTTTTGAGAAGCCTAAAGACATGAAACGTAAAAGAGAAGCATTATCTGTATGTTATATGCTTATGCACTATGGTTGTTGATATGATTGCTGGTCCAAAACAGATTGTGATTCTGTTGTGTGTGGACTTTGAGCTTGTGTGGACTCTTGGCTTGGATAGTTAACTTGCAAGGTAAGCTTTTGCGTCCTCGGTTTAGCCATTGTTAGTTCCACCATGTCCCATGGGGGGATGGTTTATATGCATGACGTTGTCTTCATGTATTGATTGTTGAAATGTTATTGAGCTGTTATGTGCGAGTGCCTTTATGATATGCATGTGGTGTTCCACCTATACGGTAAGCCTGAGTTTGTGGGGACATACAAGATGGTGAGGTTATGGGTGAGGTGCAAGCGGTGTTCCTTGTACTAACCATGGGTAATAGTCGTATTCCTGCATTTCTCTGGCCAATAGAATAGTTTCAACACACAT